CCCAGACAGACAGATTCAGGATAAAGAAATACATGGGGGTATGAAGTCTTTGATCAACAGTGATTACTGTGACAATGAGAAGATTTCCTGTGAGAGTAGCCAAGTACATTAGTGAAAATAACATTGTGTGTAAGACTCTGAACTCCCACACATCAGAAAATCCTGTAAGCAGAAATTCAGTCACTGTGGTAGAGTTAGACATTTTGGGATAATTTCTTTAGGACTTGGTGAGACACATGTAAAAGTACCTTAAAAAAAAAGAAGAAGAATCAGCAGAGGAAAGATATATAGTAAATACATGCATTGATCCTCACTTATCCATTATCTTTCCTATTTCTGGAATTTCTTAGTATACAATACCATAATATTAACTCATGTTCCTTTAGTATTTGTCCTGCTATAATTATTTCTGAGAGGCAGAAAAATATGTGTGTTCATGGTGGTTTTCATTTTTATCACTGATGCTTTGGTAATGTTGGGAGTCGAAATCAAAAGTTTTCCTGGCAGATTTATTGCATTAATCTGTCTATGTATATATTTTATTATTTGAACATATTTAGTATGTAATTAGTTGGTGACCAAAATACAATCCATATAGAGAGAGTATGCTACAGTTTAATTAGAGAAACTCAATATTTTATGAGTTATTTGAGCTCATTTTCTATTTATTTTATGAGCTCATTTTCTACCTACTGAGGGAAAAAAGTACTTATTTATCTCCATTTCCACCACTATTTTTAAAAATTTCATTTGGAAAATTCCCTGAAGGATTATTCTCTCTGATAATCATTTTCTTTTATCAATATATATAATTGTTCATATTAACAGCTAAGAAATTGAAGTTTTATTTAGACATCTGATTTTAAATATTTTATTACATTTTTAAAGGGCAATTTTAATTCTTATTTAAGTTATATACCATAATTAACCAAGAGATTTATTATTACACCAGGATTTATGTATTTAGGCTATTACATATCATTTAAATTATTCACACATTCCAAAATATAATTACCATTGTAATTATGCAATTTAGAAAATGTTATACACAAGTTGAAATGAAATAACTGTACTATGAAGAAAATGAGTATATTAATCTATGAAGACGTACATGTAAGATGTGTAGTGATAGGTTTGTCTGCTGAAAGGATAGTTTGTATTAGATGGTACTTTTTCTCTCTCAGAATTTTGGCTTGTAACAGCTTTGCTGTTTCCCACCAGGACAATTTATGTTCCCAGGTGACTTTTAATCTGTTTTTCATCCTTTGTAGCTGTCCAAGGACTGCAGGGCCCACAAAAGCCTGTTTAGGGTACACTTTTATATCACAGTGGTCCAGACCTGGAAGATCATTCCAGTGATTTTCTACCAATTGCTTATTTAAAACACATTCTTTTGGGGAAGTTATTCAAAAGGAGTTGTATTTATGCTTTAGATTTAATTTCCATTTTTATAATTTAAATTTTATAACTATAAGCATGTTTTGACCTTAAATATTTCTTGCCATGTTTTAGAACTTAAATATATTAGAAATAATCACTTCACCTGAACATGTGATTGATATACTTTGATTAAATTCTTTCTCAATTCATATATTCAGATAATTCACCACAATTAATCTCTCCTAGTTCTATAAATTGCAACTAATACATATTTTTATCCTTTATTGAAATGTAAGAAAATAAATATTTTTGTGGTAATTGATGTTTGTTTCACTTAAAGCTGACTGAGATGAATTCGGTTTAATATTCTATTTTGTTTGTTAAAAAAATCACTGCCATCGATTTTATTTCGACCCAATAGTGACCCTATTGGTAAGTGGAGAAGTGCTCCTTTCAGTCTGGGGCTATTGATCTTTCAGGGAGCAGATGCCTCATCTTTCTCCCATGAAGCATCTGTTGGTTTTGACTTTAGCTTTTTGTGCTTAGCCCCCCAGTGGGTACCCCCTATACCATCAGTATTCCCTGTATTTTTTATAGAACACTGATTTTACTCCTAAATCCTGAACATATTTGAAAGCTTAAATGAGATCCCTTTAAATCTTTCACTAAATTGCTTTTGTACACTAAATTACTGTTGTTTTATATTATCCTGCTGTTTGAGCGTTTATTGGTAGCATTGTAAAATCTATTTGGTTGAATATGACCCCTGAATAATCAAATGTAGCTCATTTATTTCAGTTATATTTTCTTGATGATTGAAATATTAACAATAATTGCTTGACACTATTCCCATTAAAGTCAATGACAGAATTAAACTACCATTTTATAGAAATGCAAAAGGTATTAATATTTTGAACATATAGTGAAAAACTGTTGACCTTTCAGGTCACAATCCAATGTGAAGCTGTATCCATTGTTGTGGTTTAGTACCATCTGGCTGTCTGGGATCCATAGAGACCCAAAGCACAACAGAGTGAAATGTTGCCTGGTCCTGCGCTGTCCTCACATCCTAGCTTCTGCCCATTGTTGTAGGTGCCATGAACCAACCATATGCATGGTAGTGACTAAATTCGAATAAGTAACCAAAAAGTAAATATAAAGCACCCTCCTTTTTTTAAGTGAAATTATTTGTTTTTAAAATGAACATGACAATATAAAATATCCTGAAATGGTATGAGAAGAGTTTGAAAACAAAATATTTCTTTAGATGAATATTTGCAAGTGGATGGGGCATATCAGGCCCCATTCTATTAGTCATAGAAGATTAGAGAATTACATGATTCTCTCATCCCTCAAAATGTAAAATCAAATTGTTTTTTGGTTTTTGTAGAAAATTGATAGGATACTCTTTCAATCCCCTAAATTGCAAAATCTATTTTGTTCATGGATGGATTTTTCATTTACCCACATACCCATTATCTATGTATAATTTTCTCAAATTTCCAAAATATTTTGAAATGAATATATGCAGATAATATTCTGGAAACCGTGGAACTGTGTGTGACCTCCTCCCTGGGGGACAGACAACCGAAAAGTGGATGAAGGGAGACGTCGGACAGGGCAAGATATGACAAAATACCCATTTATAAACTATCAAGGGCTCATGCGGGAGGGGGGAGCGGGGAGGGAGGGGAAAAATGAGGACCTAATGTCGGGGGTTAAATGGAGAGAAAATGTTTTGAGAAACGATGTACAAATGCGCTTTACACAATTGATGTGTGTATGGATTGGGATAACAGTTGTATGAGCCCCTAATAAAATGTTAAAAAAGAGGAAAAAAAATATTCTGGAAACCATCTTTAGAGGAGCTCTGTAAATGTACTTATTTCCAAATGTGTATATATCCCATAATATTCCATCATAAAGTACTAGAATTTTAGTTTAAGTAAAATGATCTGTATGTATAAAATTTACATGTATGGCATGTAATCAATGAGTCATTCTGTACAAAGAAAATATAAAATTGAATGCTTAGCAAATGGAAAATGTTTTAAAATCCTTAGTTAAATATTAATAAAAATAAATAATTTTGGTAAAATAGAGTATAAATATATATAATATAAATTGTATATTAATATATTTAATATGAATATTAAATTTAAACTAATATAATTTAAAATTACATTTTAATAGAAATTTAAACTATCAAACTAAAAACTGAAGTTGTGGGCTGTACGCAGACTATTTCTGCACCTGCCACAGTTTTTAACATCAGCAAGGTACAAGGCTGCTTTCCGCTCCCAACAAGGGTCCAGAACAAATATTAATTCTACTATAATACTGGGGTTGAGTATTTCAATAGAATGAAAAAAAAATTAGATCATGTGTGTGTGTATTTTTCCTATCTATATTTTCAATTTAATCTCATTTACATTGTTTCTGTATAAATCAATGAACAGTACAATAAGTAAGTGAATCAGCTATTCAAGTTGTAACAAAGACGATGAGATGAAAAATTAAATTAATAATCACAAATACTCACAAGATGTTATTTTATATGTTAGATGGATAATTGAGGGTTTCTGGTAAGGATGCAGTATTTGAAGTGAAGGCAAAGATGAGTAGGCATATTTCTCACAATCACTGAGACTCTTAAAAGAATTGTTCTGTTTTATAACAAGTTTTCAGATATATCTAAGAATATGAGGAGGCTGCTGGCACTAGAGAACCCCCCGGGAGTACATCCCTTGGCAGTCAATGATAGCCAGTTCCCAGGGAGGAATTCCAGGAAGAGAATCGGCTCCACCTGGACAGTAAACAGGATCTTGAGTATGAATCCAACTCTCATATATCAAAACATATTAGTATATTTGACCTTTTTAAAAGAATGGTCAAGATTGAGATAGTAATTTAAACACACGCAAATCTCAGTTCTTCTAATATTTCACTTATTCCTTGAGTGAATTTTCGTGGATTGTAAGGACATGAGCAAAGAAGGAAAACTCAGAGGTCCTATTGCTGAGATGAGCACACAGTTGTTCTTGTGAGGTTTTGATGCATTGTGACCTTAGACCCAACAGAAACAGTCTGGTCCTCGACCAGCCTGACAGTTGTTCTTAGGCTTTAGCCCATTGCTGCAGCCTCAGTGTCAATACATGTCCTTGAGGAATTTCCTCATGTTTGCTGCCCCTCTACTTTATCTAAACGTGATACTTTTCACTAGGGACTGGTCTCATGAAAATATGTCCAAAGTATGTAAAATGAAGTCTTCTCATTCCTGCCTCTATGGAGCACTCTGGCATTATTTCTTCCAATATAGATTGGTTTATCCTTTTAACAGTCCACTGAACTTTCGATATTTCTCACCAGCACCACAATTTAAATGCATTTGTGTCTTTTTTATTCCCAGTCTTTTTTATTCACTGTTCTCCTTTCCCATGCACTTGGGGCAATGGTAACTATCATGGCTTTAGTCAGGTGCACACTATTTCTTCCAGGAACATCCTTGTTTTCAATGCTCTTAAGATGTCTTTTGCAGCAGATTCAGTCAGTGCAACACATCTTTTAATCTCTTGTTTGCTGCTCCCATGGGAATTGATTGTGGATCAAAGCAATAAAAAAATCCTTGACAACTTGAACCTTTTCTCCATTTATCATTTTTATGTTATTTATTGGTCCAGTTGTGAGAAATTTGGTCTTATTTACATTGACTTGTTATCCATACTGTGAGAAATTAATTGCAAATATCAGTGATGGTGCAAGTATTTGCATCTAAAATACATAAAAACTTAAAAAATTCATAATAGAAAAAAGCAACTCAAT